TGAAAGCCAAAAGGTCGGCCCATCGTCTCGTAAACAGCCCCCGCCATGTCTCTCAACACGAGAATAGACACTCCCGTTCAACAGCGTCGGCGACATTGGCAGACTCGACGGCGACTGGCAGATAGAAAACGATGACATGCGGCTGGAGCTAGCAGCCGTCGCCTCCGCCACGCTCAGCCCTGCCCGTCACGACCAATCTGCTCCCCCAGATGCTCAGTTCCCACCACGTCACGTCTGCCGACAGCATGCAGGACGGTGTGCAGAAACACCACCACTACGTCGACCCTCTCGGCAGCACGACAAACGCTGGCTCATGCTTATTCCACCAGCCGGTCCCTCCTACGAGACAGAGCCCGTACGGCAAGCCGGCTCTGCCTTATGGGGTGTCAGCTAGGCTGGTTTGAGTCAAGACTTCGGGAAGTTTGTACGGAATCTCTGGGCGCTGGTTGGGCACGTTGTCCTCCCCGCACCAGCCATCGCGCGGATCAGCCGCATTAGGTTACCTGTTGGCTGAGCCGGCACTATCCACCTACCCCAGGCAAGCCCAACGCCATGAAGGCTGCTATTATTATCCCATCTTGATGGTGTTGTGAGGTGTGCCTGGTGACGATGAAGACGTTGAGACAGATCATGAGCCAAGCCACGGCTAGAAAGAAGTGGGCTGGGGTGGGCGATCGTAGGGCAGATCCATACACGCATGCACAGCTTGCCATTATCATTATGGAGAAATAGTCTTCTCTCGGTTCTGATTGCACGTTATCCCTTCTCAGCCGAGGGGCTGATTCAGATCTCTCCGAACGGTGAGCAGCGCTTCCTCAAACTCTCGACCGTGACGCGTGGCGCTTCCCAGACGGCATCAACTTTCAAGTCGCCCGAAAGTGCTTTCTGAACCACGCGATACACTGGTCCTCGGCTTCCTCACCCGGTCCGTCCACCTTTTCGTCCTTTGGAAACGAAGCCCGCAGCGCGAACCCGTGCGTCGACCCGTCATACACTACAATCTCGCCATTCCTGGCCTCGATGACCGGCCGCGCCCGCTCGGCCTTGGCCGTCGGGATCTGGTTGTCCTCGCTGCCAACGGCAATGGACAGCGGCACGACCAGCTTCTCGAGGTCGCCGGGCAGGACCACGAAGCTGGGGTGGCCGGTAAAGGCGGCGTCGATGAGGGGCCGGTCGTGATAATCGTCGCCGGGGCCGCCGCCGCCGGTGGGGCCTTGGGCGAGGAGCACGGTGTGCTTGCCGCCCCAGCAGAAGCCGACGGCGCCGAGGGACAGGGCGGGCTCGTCGGCGCGGACGGCGGCGAAGAAGGTCTTGACGCGCGGGTGGGTGATGCCGAAGCGGTTGCGGTAGAAGAAGGGGACGACGACCAGGAGAGCCGAGATGAGGTGGTGGCTGGGGCACCCCGGTCAGCACGTGTGTTGCTTGGTTGACGGGGCAAGGCAGGAGATGAGGGCATGGCGGCCAAAGACCGGGGACGTACGCTTTGGAGAGGAGGTTGGCGTCGCCGAAAATGGAACGCATGTTGGCGAGCACGGACACGGGCGCGGCGTGGCCGTCCATGAAGTCGGGGAGGTACACCTTGTACCCGCCCTTGTCGGCATATCTGTCGGCGATGAGGCGGGCGTTGGGGAACTCCCAGCCAAAGACGTCGGGAATCACGACGATGATGCCCTTGGCCGGCTGCTGGTTTTGAGGCTCGGTCATGTACACGTCGAGACCGTGGAGAGTCGTGACGCGCCCCCGTGGAATGCCCTTGTGCAGGGCGCCGCTGAAGCAATCGGGACAAGACATGGTGGTTGCAGACGAGACGTCAGACTCTTGTTCTGCGGCTGACCAACAGGGTCAATTGGAGAGATGGTCACTCGGCGATGCGAAGTCGAAGAGGTCGAGGATCAATCTTGACGATGCCATCGGTTCAACTGCTTGGCTGAGGGCGGGGATGAGAAGGGGACCAGAAGCCCTCCTCAGCAGCGAGTGGCCGACTCTGACTCGGCCTGCCTGGGAGCTGAAGGGCTGAATCCATGACGCTAGGAAGAATCTGGCCATGTCTCTGCGTGTTCGCCGGATGTAAACAGCAGGCAGGCCGCAGAGCTATTGACAAATGTACCGGTGTTCAGTCTTCTTGAGGCGAGATACGGCGTGAGTGTGGTTGTCTACCTAGGTAGGTAACTTGGTACGCTACCTAGGCTGTGGAAGCATTCCGGAGGGTTGATGATCACTGCCTTCCTCCAGCGCGTCGATTCGGCACACCGACCAACTCCAGGCAGCTGTTCCAGCCTCAGTCGATATGCGATGAAGACCAGTGGCTGGTGCTTATCGGTATCGTGGCTGGTGGAGCCATTGTGGATTAGGTAGACTGACATGTCCCGGCGGAGTGGCGGCCCATGTGTTATCCCGAGTCCGCTCCAGGCTCCTCCTGCCCCCACCCGACCACAGCCTTCTTTTGACTCCTGATGAACAACTGAAGGCGGCTCGAGCCGCTCTGCCATCTTCGCCATGTGGCCTTGTGGCCTTGTTCAACAATCGCTGGCCATCGCGTGGCCGGACAGATCGAGCGATCGAGCGAAGCAAGTCTTCGGGCAAGCAATTTGCTTTCATCTTCCATCAGGCACTTACGATCAGCTAGCATTCCGGGAGCAAGCACCTGCCATGACCAGGTACTTATCATGACAACCCCACGGTGTCCCCGACGGAGACGGCATAATCTGGAATCGGTCGACTCAGTAACGCACCACTCGTGAACCCACCACAATGGCCGAGGTCAACGCCCGTTCGTGCCGCCTGCGCCCGCGGGCCTGTCAAGACGGGCATGTCAAGACCGGCATGTCAAGACCGAGAGCCACCTTGCCGAAAAGCATCATCTGGTATTGGTATGAGGCTTACGCCAAGCCGAGGCCACAGGGCTGATATTCGCTTGGCAGAGATGGAGCCTCAATCGATTCAACCAGCTCCATGCCACTCATTATGCGCCCTCGGATGAGCGTATGCAGTCCAGAGGCGCCTAGTCAGTAACGTCATGCCGTCGAGTCGAACAACGGCCTCAAACTCGACCAGTGTCGATGACCGATAGGTCCCGGCAGCACGCCATGGCAAACCAGTCCATCAAACATCTAACAATAACAGATTATACCATACCATTCCACCATGAGCCACCCACCTGCTGGGTGGGTTCAGTGGGTCATCCCGAATGTCGAACCCGCCGAGCCCACCGGAGCCTCATTCATGCAGCCCACTCCGGCCCTTACGCCCCCCCCCTGCCCATCAGCGAGCTCGCCTAGGCGCCACCGGCGGCGCAATCCTGGTCAATCCCGTCCCGTTCGACATGAAATCTCGCAAGCGTGGGATGGGCTTCCACCATCAAAGTCCTCCGCTCCCGACTGGACGCGCCTTGGGGCCTAAAGTTCCAGGCCCCCCATGCTGCAAAATGTCTCCGAAGTCGTGCTCCTATGTTGTTTTCCTTTTTCATTGTGCCAACGGAGCGGGGACTCTTCTCTGCCATCAAACTCCCTTTTTTTATTCGCCGTGGTACTGTTGAGTGTAGCTCATTTATTTATGCTTCCAGCATCGGCTCCCCTGAGCCAACTCTGTCGTGCCCACCCCCCATCACGCCAAAACACGCCTAGCCTGATCACACACAACGCGCTCTGGGTTTCCGCTATTACTGATACCCACGAATGCTATTCTAGAAGCAGCGGTTGCTTCCGTGGAACACCGTGGTGAATCACAGGGGTTGATAATTGTCCACTCTGGTCATAATAAAGCCACCTTGATCAATTATTCACCTCACAGCACTGATGGGGCAGACACGCTGATCATTACAAAGATCACCTTTGCCCGGGTTTCCCCCTCTCTTTGACTTGAATTCATAGGAGAAGTCGAAAGCAGCTCAATACTAAGGCCCCTGAGCTATACCAAACAGCTCTCGCTTGAGAAGTTTCGGGACCTGATTATTCTACTACAATCACCTGAGGAGAAAGAACACGCCACGACCGAACACCTCAAGGTGTCATAAACCCTCCATCATGGGGGCCAACTCCGAGGAGCCATCTGCGAAGACGCATATTGCCTCGTCTCGACACTCATCTTCGACAGAAGTCTCAGAAACACATGATCAAGTCGAAGCACTAGCCCGCCGTATCACGGCTCAGTCGGCCAGACTCGACCATGGAACAGCAAACAGCGCCCTCAACCCTGTCAAGGGTAGCAATTTGGATCCCTTCTCGGCGGATTTCGACAGAACCCTCTGGACCCAGGCCTACATACGCGAATTTGAGGCCGACCCTGACACGGCGCCCCCACGCAAGGCCGGCGTGGCGTTCCGTAACTTGGGCGTCTTTGGCCACACCTCGGGCGACCAGTACCAGCAGAGCACCGGCAACATCCTTCTCAGCCTGACCTCGACTCTTGCCGGGAAGGTCACTGGTCGTGCAGCTACTCGTGTAGATATCTTGCAAGGGTTCGACGGCATCGTTGATCCCAAGGAGATGCTACTTGTCCTCGGCCCCCCAGGCTCAGGATGCTCGACCTTTCTCAAAACCTTGTCAGGGCGTACCGACGGACTCAACATCACAGAGGACTCATACATCAACTTTACAGGTACTTCATCCTAGCCTTCCCCTTCCGGCCGGATGACCACTAACACAAACCAGGCATCGACCCAAGCCACATGCACAATTGGTTCCGGGGCGATGTGCTCTACAACGCCGAGGTTGACGTTCACCTCGCGCCCCTCTCCGTTGGCGACACTCTCGAATTCGCAGCGCGCGCTCGCGTTCCTGCCAAGATCCCCGGCGGCTTCAACAAGAATGAGTACGCCCGTATCATGCGCGACGTCATCATGGCCACTTTTGGCATTTCCCACACCATTGACACAAAGGTCGGCGATGATATCGTTCGAGGTGTTTCTGGAGGCGAGCGCAAGCGCGTCAGCATCGCAGAGGCATGCCTCACGGGCGCCAAGTTTCAATGCTGGGACAACAGCACCCGTGGCCTAGATAGCGCCAACGCCATCTCCTTCTGCAAGACCCTGCGCGTTCAGGCAGACATTATGAATGTGGCTGCTGTCGTTGCCATCTACCAGGCGCCCCAGGCGGCTTACGAGGTGAGTCCAAGGTCCTTCATTCTGGAAGAGCGACGTGAGCTGACAGTCCAGACCTTTGACAAAGTCACCGTGCTGTACGAGGGCCGTCAGATCTACTTTGGCCGTACTGAAAATGCGAAACATTACTTTGAGCAATTGGGCTTCGAATGTAAGTCGCGCTTGATTGTCTGACCAATCTTGCTTCACAGCTGACACTCTCTTCAACCGAAGGCCCTGACAGGCAGACCACCGCCGATTTCCTAACATCCATGACGTCGCCACATGAACGTCGCATCAGGGCGGGATGCGAGCAAATGGTCCCAAACACTCCTGACGAGTTCGCCGCCAGGTGGCGTGATTCGCAGGAACGTGCCGCTCTCATTACTGAGCTCGACCAATACGATGCCGCGCATCCTCAACAACAGCGCATGGATGAGTTCACGTTCAGCCGAAAGGTCGAGCGCAGTTCGGTACAACGACTCAAATCGCCCTATACCATTCCCTACTTCGACCAGGTCATGCTCTGTATCTGGCGTGGATGGAAGCGCCTTATTGCGGATCCCGGATTTACCGTGGCACAGCTCGGCTTCAACTTGATCATGGGTCTTGTCTTGGGTAGTGCATTCTACAACCTCTCCGGCGATACAAGCAGTTTCTATCCCCGCGGCGCTGTTGTGTTTTTTGCACTCTTGTTCAATGCTTTTGCCAGCGAGCTCGAGGTAGGTTGCATCCGCGATCCACGCATGTCTGGGAGTCCAGAGGTGGCAGCTGACTGACCCCTTCAGGTCCTCACCCTATACATCCAGAGACCCGTTGTCGAGAAGCACAATCGATATGCTTTCTATCATCAGTCTGCCGAAGCAATTTCGAGTTACGTTCTTGAACTTCCCTACAAGGTTACTAATGCTATCTTGTTTAATACGATTGTTTACTTCCTCGCCAATCTCCGCCGCGAACCTGGAGCATTCTTCTTCTTCGTTTTCACGGTATTCCTCATTCTCCTCATCATGTCGGGCGTATACCGTACCATGGCCTCGATCGCACGCACATCCGACCAGGCGTTGGTGCCGGTTGCTCTCATCACCATGGGCGTCATGGTCTACACTGGTTTCACAATCCCTGTAGACTATATGCCCGGCTGGTCGAGGTGGATGAACTACATCAACCCTCTTGCCTACGGCTTTGAGGCTCTCCTGGCGAATGAATACCACGGACGCGAATTTCCCTGTGCAAGCATCGCGCCTGCTGGTCCCGGCTACGATGACCTTCCCCTGGCTAACCGAACCTGCACTGTCGTTGGCGCAGTTCCCGGCGATCCCATGGTATCCGGCGACCGCTATATTGAGATCAGCTTCGGGTACTACCATGCCCACAAGTGGAGGTACATCGCCTGAATCTATGTTATGCGAATGAATACTGATATCATACAGGAACATCGGTATCCTTTTCGGCTTCTTGATCTTCTTCTTCTGCACCTACATCTTCGCTGCTGAGTACGCCAAGCCTCCTGTCAACAAGGGTGAGGTTCTTCTGTATCGTCGAGGCAAACTCCCTGCATTTTCCAAGAAACCCGGACAGAAGGACGAGGAGAGCCAGACGCCTTCGCGGCCCATCTCTGAAAAGCCTGCGGCTGAGGCGAAAACCGACAAGCTAGAGAAGGAGAAGAGGCCCAGCCCGAGCACTTGTGGAAAGCCCATTTTCCATTGGGAAGACGTCTGCTATGATGTCAAGATCAAAGGCAATGACCGTCGCATTCTTGACCACGTCGACGGATGGGTGCAGCCTGGCGTGGTCACCGCCTTGATGGTACGTCGATCGTGTCCACAGTTTTGAGTGTTGCTGACAACCCACAGGGCTCGTCTGGAGCGGGAAAGACCACCCTCCTAGATGCTCTCGCCACTCGTGTCACGATGGGTGTGCTCACTGGCGACACTCTTGTCAACGGAAAACCGACGGACATGTCCTTCCCTCACCGCGTAGGCTACGTTCAGCAGCAGGACCTTCACATGAACACTATGACCGTCAGAGAAGCTCTGGAGTTCAGTGCAATCTTGCGTCAGAGCGCTGAGATTCCTCGTGCCGAGAAACTTGCGTACGTCGACGAAGTGATCAAGACCCTGGAGATGGAGGCCTTTGTCGACGCTGTCATTGGTGTGCCCGGCGAGGGCCTGAATGTGGAACAGCGCAAGCGGTTGACGATCGGCGTCGAGTTGGCTGCCCGTCCTCAGCTGCTTGTCTTCCTTGACGAACCGACCTCCGGTCTCGACTCTCAGACATCTTGGGCCATCTGCGACCTCATTGAACGACTGGCAAAGAGTGGTCAGGCTGTCCTCTGCACCATCCACCAGCCGTCTGCCATGCTCTTCTCGCGCTTTGACAGACTTCTTCTACTGCAACCAGGCGGAAAAACTGTCTACTTTGGAGGTAATACTCGTTGCCTTCCGTCTTTCGAGCTACATACTGACATCTTTCAGACATTGGTGCTGGCTCCCGTACGATGATTGATTACCTCGAGAGAAATGGCGCGCCGCCTTGCCCTCCAGCCGAGAACCCGGCGGAGTGGATGCTGAAGGTCACGCTTCCTTCGACTGACGGACCCGATTGGTTTAGCATCTGGCACAACTCCCCCGAGTATCGCGAGACCAAGGCTGAGCTACAGCGTCTGCGAGACGGAAACACCCCGGTCGAGCGCAGCGCTGCGCAAGATTTGGCCTCGCAACACAACGAATTCGTCGCCTCGTTCTGGACCCAGTTCCGCGAGGTCCTGCTCCGCGTGTTTAAGCATTTCTGGAGGTCACCATCCTACCTGTGGTCGAAGATTGCTGTCACAGGTCTCCTTGTAAGTGACTCGGACACACTCAAACTTGGAATGCCCGCTGACACGTCCAAGGCTCTCTATATCGGATTCAGCTTCACATCCAGCAATAGTCTTCAAGGCCTCCAGAATCAGCTCTACGCGTTCTTCATGGCTTTCCTCATTTTCAACCCCTTCAACAAGCAGATCATGCCCATGTTTGTACCGCAGCGTGCGCTTTACGAAGTTCGCGAGCGCCCTTCCAAAATCTACCGCTGGTCTGCCTTCATGCTCTCCAATGTTGTCGTCGAGTTCGTTTGGAACACCGCCGCCGCCGCTCTCTTCTTTTTCTGCTGGTATTATCCCGCTGGCTTCTTCAAAAACACCACCTCAGACGACGTCACAATTCGTGGCTTCACCACGTTCCTCTTCATTTGGCAGCTCTTCCTCTGGATCTCGACCGTCTCGCAGTTCGTCATCGCTGCCATTGAGCACGCTGACCTGGCCAGCGTGCCCGCAGCGCTCATCTGCATCTTGGCCCTCAGCTTTTGCGGCATCGGCACCGTGCGCTCGACCCTCCCTGCGATCTGGGCCGATTTCATGTACCGCGTCAGTCCCATGACCTACCTCGCCAGCGGCGCGCTGTCCACCGCTCTCCACGGAGCCAAGGTTGTCTGTAGGCCCGAAGAGATTGTGCGCATCCCTGCCCAGGCGGCCATGAGCTGCGCCGAGTTCCTGGAACCATACAGTCAGCGCTTCAGTGGATACCTCGTTGATGTCAGCGACGAGACCGTGTGCGGATGGTGCCCGATGAGCACGACCGACGACTACCTTGCCACCTTCGAGATCAGCTTCGGCGACCGATGGAGGAACTTTGGCATTGGGTGGGCATTCATTCTCTTCAACATTGTGGCGGCCTGCGGCCTGTACTGGCTGTTCCGCGTGCCCCGGGGGCAGGGTATCAAGAGGAAGTAAAGATGGTGTCGGGGGGGGGGGGGGGGGATGAAAGATGCTGAAATGACTCTTTGAGACTTCAGACGGTAATAGAGATATAAATCTGGGATGCTAATGGCTTAGATTTTTTTCTTCAAGTGATCTAGACGGATGGGTTAGATTTTTCATTGAGGTAATCTAGACAGGGCTGCTTGTTCTTTGTTTCATTTCCTTCTTCGCGGGCCTATATATAATAGACTTTTAGAACCTGTTGGAGGGGACCATGCCATCTACATGCACCAATATCATTTCGTTCTACTCAAGCAAGATGTCTCCGAGTCGTTTGAATTCGTCTTATCTTACGACTTGTGCGAAGGCGAGATTGCTTGCATTTACCAACGATTTTCTCCGATCCGGCATCTTGTTCCATGGCTGCCACGCAGCCACGGTCTGTCTACTTCGCGCACAGTACATGGATAGGTTCACTGACCTTGGTCCTCAGGCTACAACCCGAACGTCAACGCGTCTCCGGCTCGCCACCAGCCTTCACCCATAACATGGTGTACCTCAGGCAGAACGACCCATGGACGACCCTTAAGCGAGCCTGGCACGCGCGGCACGTGGGTAGATATTAAATATCATGATGCCACTGAAGATGCCGCCCGTTTGGATTTCCTACATCATCACATGCGCTGCACTTTCGTGATGACCCAGGCCATCCACTCCCCATCCTCGCTCCTGCATAGTTTCTCATCCACTTGACCCCTTCCGAAGAGCATCGTCTTGATCGTTCCCTGCTGCCGTCTACGCGTGAGTCTTCATATGACACCCGCCATGCTGACTATCCCCCGCTTCCTGGGAAGGTGTGGTTTCCATTGTTTGCTGACGATCTTTTCGAAAGTCAACGACTGATGCTCTAGATTGAGGATCGCAACGACTCGATTGCTCCCTTCGCCCGTCTTCGTGTCCGTAATCCGTGGTCCCGAAGAAAATAATCCACAGCTGCACATTTGTAGTGACATCCGAACTGGAGATGAGGCTCAAAGCCTTCTCGTGGGCTCATAGAGCCAAAGATGATGCCGAGGGTGGCGATGCAGCAACATCCATCAACGGCCGTCGCGTATCCAATGCTGGCCCCCGGGTCTTCCCACGAGTGCTGAATATGCTTTCACCTTTTCGCAAGTTCAAGCCGCTTACCCAGCATCGAGGCCGAGATAGTCACCGCGCCTCCCTGACCATGTCTGTGATCCATGTGTCCATCGACGCGAAGCCGTATGATTGCGCGTTTGAACGGGCGAATCCCGGTGACTAGAAGTTGACCGGCAACTCCGAAGAACGCGATAGGCCTGCAAGACACGACGGGCAGGAAAGTCGTAATGGAGCGAAGCGCACAAACACCTCCGCCGCCCAGACATGTGAGGACCATACTGCTGCTCCTGGAAACTGCCCTCGTACCCATAGAGCGAGCGAAGCATCTGCTGCCTTCACAAACCTTGAAGCCGTTCACCCTGACGAATCACACCGAGCGGACGACGGCCAGATACAGGCCCGTAGCCGCAAGGCTTCGGACGAGGACACCCTCAAGCTTCACGATCGAGTCTTCTCACCCGGCCAGAGCCGCTCTTCTTCATGGGAAACTTGGGTTGATAACGTTGTGCATCGAGAGACGGACAGCGAGAACCATGCGTCGCACCATCGTGCCCGCTCCGTCTCAGTCAACTCCACCGGAACCATCATTCGGTACGGCAACAGCAGTCTCAAGGCTGACGTTCACTGCTCCGAGTCCACTGGTGCCACCCTGAACTCCCCTCGCTCTCTCGAGAATGTTTGTATCAATCCCCCTTCCCAGAATGGGACGCATGGTCGGGTCTCAAGCATGGAACAGCTGATGCAGAGCCAGCTCCTCGAATCTTGCCATGAGGGGGCTGGCAGCACGACATATGAGTTTGACCTCGTCGGTGAGATTGATGTTCGCAACTGCCACGAGGCGGTCCTCGACGTCGATGAGTATCGCAGTCAGGCCATCTTTCAGAAGATTCATGCCGATATGGCTGATGGAGTGACTCCGCGCGTTCAGACGAGCAATGACGACGAGCGCGGCGAGGGTGAAGAGTCATTCGACACGGTTTCTGCAGACTGTGACCTCGAGGTTGCCATCAAAAAGTCGGTCTCTGCCTACCTTGAGTCTCCCGAGGCAAATCTGGCGAGTCAAGTCGAGTTCATGAACAATGAGGATGAACTCAACTATGAAGAAGGAAGATACCAACACCTGAAGAGCACCATGGGCTCATATATCACAGATGAGGACCACAGCCCGTCTGAATACTCAAGCCAGGGAGAACCCCAAGGACCCGATACATCGGGAGACACGATTGGAGATACATTCCAAGTGGGAGACTGCGGCAGTTCTCACCAAGGTCATTTCTACCAGACTGATCTGTCACCCATCCCCGAGTTCCCAACCCCATCACCAAGTCCTGCTCATCCCCGTTGCCAAGGCCCAGTCAGAGCACCGCCGCGCAGCGCCTTGAACAAGGAAACTTTCCACGACTGGACCGTAGACACCAAAGACCTGCACCTCGTCCCTTCTTCGCTCAAGAGCCCTCTCTTGCGCCCGCCACCGATCCCTCCCCGCGGATCCTCTCGCACACTGCCAACCCCTGGTCAATCAAGCCACTTGTCTGGACGCCTACACCAGTTCCACACGTCTCCCAGCACCGATCAACCGTCCACTCCAGAGCAGGAGCGTTCTTACTTTGACTTTGACGACTCGCCATGCTCCGACGGCCGTGTCTGCGCAGCGTCGTCCGGAGCGCGCACCCTCATCAGGGGCTTGAAGACGTTCTTTCAACAGGACACAGAGCCCACGCGCCAACCGGCTGCGGCCCCGACCCTTCGACGTACTTTTCGCCGTTTCTTCTCCAAGCGTGAGCCCGACGACGCAGGAACCAGCACCTGCCCGGCCCTGAACGAGGCCGTGGCTCATGTTCGCTCTGCGGCCGATACCGAGTATACCGACTACGGCACCCACTACCCCGTGCTCACCACCACATGTTCGGCCGGAGCATCTCAGGATCGGCAGCTCGCATCTTTCCCCAGCTTGGCATGCCGCGACTCTTGGGCCTCTACGGTTCATTGTGCAAACCACCCACCCGGGACGACCTCGCGCGTCTTCGAAGAGAAGATACCTGCGGGCTGGTTCTGAGGGGCGCACAGTACCGTTTTAACCAGGCGTAGCCTACTTTCCGTGCTGCCCGAGCTCACCCGGCGTGCCTTCAGCCGGGTCTCCGGAACAACATCTCGTGGTACAACAGCCCCGGGCTCTGATGAACGTTTCCTGGTGCACTGTATAGTATTGGCAACAGTGATCATTATTTTGTATACCTGACGAATGAAGTTGAGGGGTGTATGGATTTCTACAAGTGGTCTCTTTTGATATGGAATGGGCCTGGGGCAATGCCGCAGGGGCGGACAGTGTCTGTAAACACCTCTCATGGTCATGTGCGATCTCTGGACACGACAGTACTGGGAGGATGAGTCTCGGCGACTTGGTAACCACAAATGCGACGTTGAGCAATGTCATGAAGCACCTGTAGGATACATCGAGGAGCCAGGGCCAACACAGCCGTGCGACACAGGTAGAGATTGCGAAGGGATGGACGGTTGTCACTTGACCCTATGGTATTCTTGGCTTGATACGAATAAATGGTTCAATTCAATACAACGTCCTGCTGCCTTGACTTTCTCGGGCATCACTACAATCGACAGCGGGATGCCGGGGAAGTCGTCACGTCCGTAGCATGTCATCATTAGAGGAGCTTCTGACACAACCGTGGAAAGCCTATGTACCGCTCGTCAAGGGCTATCGCGGGATCACAAGATCCGCTTTCCGAGGTAAGAATCCCGGGCTGCCAGAGGTCGCCAACGATTCAAATGCACACCTGCGATCGCCAGTACAGCAGACTTCCTGTTGGTGGCCTTTCCCCACCCCGAGCGATCTGTCCGGATCAATCACCTAGATCTGGGGTCGCCAATGGCGATCGCCCTCGGGCTAAGCAACCATCGGGCGAAAGAAGCACGACCGCGCTCCGAATGAAGCAATGTAGGCATTCCGATCACGTTGCATGCGCTGGTCTGCGCACTTTTTCAAGTGATTTCCAAGCACGAAGGACCACAGTATATGCCAACTACCACATACCACCCCCTTTCGTCGTATGCATGAAACGGTGATCAGCAGTGGTTACCCCTCGACAACGGGGTTCATGTCCGCTGCTCATGACGAGAAGGAACCCTGACGACCATTGCAGGTCGTCGCCGCAAGGGTCACGACTTAAGAAGGCAGTGTATGCCACAGCGTCGAGGCTCACTGTCCGGTTTATGTAGTGCAGGATCCACGCAGCCCGCTGATAGAGCCCCAGATGAAGTATTCCGCCCTCCTCGCCCTCATTCCCTCGGCGTTTGCCTCGGTGGTTCCCCGCCAAGACCCTTGCCAGGCTTCAGCCGATGGCTTCGCATCTCTCAACGGTGGCACCACTGGCGGTGCCGGCGGGACGGTCGTCACGGTCTCAACGCTGGCCGATCTCGAAAAGTATGCAGCCGCCGCAGGCCCTCATGTAATCAAAGTCGAGGGCCGTATCACAGTCGTGCCATTCGGCAAAGAAGTCAGCGTTTCAAGCGACAAGACGATTGTCGGCGTTGGCGAGGACGCAGAGATCTTCCAGGGTAGGTTGCGGTTCATCGGCGTCGGGTTTCACGTGAACTTTGCTGACTGATTTCTAGGCGGCTTAAGACTGATAAAAGTCAGCAACGTCATTATTCGAAACTTGATCATCGGTGAGTGGCGGTAGCTTTCGACCCTTTTGAGAGGAAATCCCAACTTACTTTGGTGATCAAAGGCCACTCCAGCGACGGCACCGACAACGATTACGATGGAATCCAGTCAGACACATCATCGAATATCTGGATTGATCATTGTATGTATTCCACCATCTTAGGAGACGAATAGAGCTGACTGGCCCAACCCAGGCCTTTTTGAAGAAGCCGGTGACGGTCTCGTCGACCTCCGCAAAGATACAAACTACTTCACCGTCTCGAACAACATTTTCCGCAAACACGACAAGGCCTTCGGCATTGGGTGGACAGAAAACGTAGTCGCCCGTGGCACTATTCACCACAACTGGTTTGACTCGACGAACCAGCGCAATCCTTCAGCTGACAACTTGGCTGAGGCACACTTGTATAACAACTTTGTTAGTGGTGTAACTTCGTACGGGCACTACGCTCGCGGTGCCACGACGGCTGTCATCGAGAATGTGTTCTTCGAGAATACGAAGAATCCAATTACGCGGGATGAAGGAGCGGCGCTCCGCACGAAGGGGAATATCTTTGAGGGCACCGACGGGACGATTGCGAAGGATGCTGGAGTAGCCTTTGACCCGGCTTCGTACTACTCGTACACGTTAACGAAGACGGCGGACGTACCAGCATTTGTGAGAGGCAATGCCGGACCTCGAAATGCGGTCTGCTCTTGATAGACAGGGGCTAGTGCGAACTTGGACAATGACGTATCCACGATCACGCTGCTCATCGGGTATCAGAGGAGAAGAACCAAGAGAAGCCCGGACCGCCATACGAGGGCATGCCAGTAGCCGAGGATATCATGTCCAGAATATGGCAGTAGAGGGCCAAACCGAATCCAAAACGAAAAGAAAAGAGATGACATTGAGTAAACAAACGGGTTGAGAAATGCGTCCTCCAGATGCCAGCTGCTAGACCCGACTTCAAATTCCCACCCCAGGATTGCCAAACGGTCACTCTGGAGATGTCTGATGCCAAGCTCTCCTGGCGGCGGGTTAGTGTCTGCGTAGACTGACCTGGCATGTGGGAGCCCCAGAGCTATAGACTCGGCCGTTCTGCGGGACCCCATCTCGGAGAAAAGGGGGAGGGGACCAGGGCGCAGATTTGACCGACATGACGGCTGCCAACCGAGGCCCAAACTGGAGGGGCGCAGGCATGCCCCTGGGGATATATTGTGGAATCCGGAATCCGGAACCTAGGGCCAGGTCAGGGTCACATCGAAGATAGCTGCAGGGTCAGGTGCATCGCGAGGCGTCACAAGCGCGCACGAAGGTTGCGAGCAACATCTGGCTGCGCCTAGGTACCGCCGCGCCGGGTTGATGAGCCTGCAGAGATGATCGATAGGACCGACATACAGCATACAGCTCGGGCCTAACGGTTCCTCCCGAAGTGTGTCCTTCGCCAAGTTGCAGGGCTTGGCTACCAATGGCTGTATAGAGGCCATGGCTGGCCAGGGCTCGTTCTAGCCTCCATTGCCATTTTTTCTCTCGCCGCCTGGCATGGTGATGCCGCACCGAACCTAGGTTTATGACCCCTACTTTACACCGCAAAGAGTTTAGTAGCATAGAACTGGTGCGCACCGACACCCCCTGGCAACCATCGTGTGAGTTCCATGGGAGCGGTTCAGGCATGCACGCTTGCTGCATCCGGGTGGTTCGACGAGGGTGAGGCTGAGGCTGACATGTTGGCAATGTACTACGCTGTCTGCTGATTCGGAACTGGAGAGCTTGTTGGACGCCGTAGGTGTTGTTTTAGTTCCATCTTTGTCTTCAGCAATCGTGTGCTCCTCCAGGGCATAAGGCGTAGCTGAGGAATCCATCAGTCGTTGCGGGAAAAGCGCGTAGAATCTCTCTGTATTGCTCAGTTTGCTTTCACAGGCAAAGAGGACCATGCCTAGATCGACCCAGTTTAACTAATAGCCGTCGGCAGACAGCTTTGGCCATCGCCACGTGAGGAAGCTGAGCTCGTGTGCTGTTGCAGCCGCCACGTTATTAGGCGAGCGGACAATACTAATACGGTACGAGTCATCCTCCTGCCATGCCTTGAAGTAGGGAGGGGTTTCTAAGCGTCGTCGTCCCAGACCTGAATTCCAACGTAAGTAGTTCCACGCTATGAATAGTTGGACCGACCCGTAAGCGGACGGCTCACTCCGCCAAAGAAGCAAGCCAGGCCTTGGTACCGTGTAGTTCCAAGAGGCCAGCCCCCCTGCTCGTCTGCCGTTTAGCGACGAAAAAGGACACAGACATGTGGAGTGATTGACGTCGAAGGCGGCGGGCGGCGCCCGGGGAGAGCATGGGGGAGACCAGGGGTTGTTGACCAGGGGTAGCCCGGTCGAATCGGTGGGGAAGTTGGAAGGAGAACTGTAATCACAAGGGGACGACCTGTGGAGAAAGTTAGGTGCCCAGACCCAAATGCTCCGAAGGGAGGCCGGCGCCATCAGTCACTGGTCCACCGTTGACAGCGTCCTGTCGGTCTGCTGTGTTCTGCCCCGTCCGGAGACCCCGTGCTTTCCCAGTTTTTTTTTTCATTCCATCCTTGAAGTCCCCATGGGAATGGTTCGTGCCGTGGAGGAGACTTGGATTTTGGCGATTTCTCGGTGGGATGGTCTTTATTTGACCTTCAAAAATGAATCCGGTTGTGATCCAAAGAATTGACAGCACAACGGGACAAGCGAAATACTCCGCGTGGGACAACCCCGATACGATTGTTTCTAGACGAAACCGCATCTTTCATGAACGTGACTTTCATCGTTCATTGCCAGATCCGCATTCTCTGGACAACATCCGATCGCCAACGGATGCCACCATGAATGAATCTGCTGTGGCATTTCAGGCCTCCGAACCCGAAAGAAAAGGACCGAAGACGGACAAGTCGGCACAGCGCATCAGTCTGTGTCAGGGCGACAAAACGTAACTGTAGTGGAGGGAGTCGATCAAGTGTTGCTGTGCAGAACTGGAGGTGGGCCACGGTAATGCCTGGTTCGCAGTGGCCCCATGTCCCGGGCCAGCTTTACCCCGACGACGCAGAAGAGTCAGCACAGGTAGCAAACCTCGACACAGAGGGCCTCATGACCTGTTCTCGAGTCTGATGCGTTTTCGAAACGAGCGAAGCCGAGTGGTCTGGCGCGGAGACGACTCGGCCAATTTAGCCAGGCGGCGGCGCATGGGAGTGAGGGCTCCAGGCAGGTTTAGCGCGTCGAGTACCGCCGAGCATTGGGCCACCAAAGACTTTGCGTTGGTAGGGACGACGGGGGTCCAGGGTGGAAACAAAGAGCAGATGTTGCAGCGGCTGAGCGGGTAGATTCTCGTGTGGGAGGAGGGCGAGTGCGAGTGATTGGATGCCCGAGGG